TTTTCTGATTTCCTGGCTACTGGTGCCAAGAGTGTTGACCATGGAGCCAAGCAGACTAAAGTTGTTAACAATCTCGCTCTCTTCACCATCCATCCTGATGCTGCCAGTTGGCCCAGTGGTGAGAATCTTTGTCTTCTTGATATTGAGCTTCAATCCATACTGAAGGCTGCAGTCCTTGACCTTCTGCAGCAGGCACTTCAGGTCCTCCTCAGTTTCAGCAAGCAGGGTTGTGTCATCTGCATAACACTGATTGTTCATAGATCTTTCACCAATCCTGACGCCACACTTCTCTGCTCAAATAAGATAGTAAAAAGCACTTATATGCTTTCCCCTAATTTTTTAATTTTATTTGTACCTGTTTCTTTGTATCTGTTGTTCCTTGAACCATCCCCCCCCATTTCCAGTGCTTGAATAATGCCATTTATGATCGTCTTCCTGCAGATTTAAAAAAAATTATTTTATTGTGATTTTAAGGAAAGTTTATGGAAAAATTGCATTTTTATTTATTTATTGTTACACATTTTTTTTCTGCTTCCTCCCTTCCTTCCTCCTCAGTTAACTTTTTTATTTATAATTTTCTTTTTGTGCGTTTTCGCCCCTGCCTCCCCTTCCCTTTCTTCTAACCCGCCCATCCACGTTCTGGATTGTTGTCTTATGTATAATGTCTAGTCATATATTCTTTTCGGATAGTTCTTCCCCTCGTCTGTTCTACTACAGTGTTTATTATCTATCCACTCTTTTCCCGTTCTCTGCCCACCCCCCCCACCCTGTCTGTCCTGTTTTATAACAGCTGTGTTGCACAGTATTTGTCCTTTTGTGACTGCGATATCAATCGATGATCTGCTATGCGAGGAATGAAACTTGAGCAAGAATGGTGTTGCATTTATAGTCAAAAAGACCATCCCAAGATCTATCCTGAAGCCTGATGCTGTGAGTGGTACAATACTATCCATATGCATGAAAGAAAGACCTGTTAATACAACTGCTATTCACATAAACCTATCAACA